CAAAGATCTGGTGCAAATTCTAATTTCAATTCATCAGTTTGCCTTCCACCAATTATTTCTGCTTAGTTTTCGTTTGTGGCGCCAGTTTGTTCCCCATTTTCTGTCTGTTTCAATTCCAAAGTGCATTTCTCTCAATTGATATCTGCTCAAGTACTGACTGAATGAAGTGAATTCAACAGAACTAACAAAGAAACGTAAATTCAGAGAGCCAAATGGAATTTAACCTGGACAACACTCGCAAAAGAGCAGAAGAAAAACAGAAGCAGTAACTGGAGAACAGAATAACAAAGAAAGCTACCGAAACTAATGAATAATTCGCCTACGAAACTTAAGATCGCTCTAGCAGCAGACCAATGCATGTCTGCTTTCACACTGTGAAGAGAAAAGTAAGCCTTAATGCCATTGCATAGAAGCCCGCACTGAAACGACTTCACACTAAACGACCCCACAACAGAGAACACCACAAAAATTCTTTGAATCTAAGCAACAGCTACTGCGGTTCTTATGCAGAATAAGTCTCTGCCTTTGAAGACTGCGAAAGGATTGAAACGGAGGTCTAAAATGAGGCCAACTGATAAGGAGCTTCCGCCGTTCACCGAGGTATTGGACAGTGAGGGCTTCCAGCTGTGGATCTGCTGCTGCGGCTGAGTCGTGGCAACGATCTTCACCCTCTCGTAGAAAAAAGAGAGACTCCAGGTGGCAGCAACTCCTTGATCACAGTTTTGTGCCCCCGAAGACCCTGTTATTGCGTTGCCAGCTTCGATATATATAGTTCATTGACTGTGCAAAAGCTGTCCAGTGCTTCCAAATGCTGATTTTCTCGGTACTCTTCGCTTCAGACACTTCTTATCAGTGAAAAGCCCGCTGTGGGTCCGCCCGCTTTCCATATAAACAAATTGAAGGGCCGTGTGGTGCGGGTCCAGCACCTAGGTGGGAGTACCCCGGTGGCTTAGCCTACGCGTCTCGCGCCGCAGGCAGTGTGGGTAAGCCTCGCTAGGGCGGTAGGGGCCGAATTTTGCTGCATTACAATTGCCGTTCTAAATAAAGTGACCATAAAATCTTGTCAGGACTTTAGGAGCAGCGCTGTTTAGAAGGATTCTGCGAAAGACCAAAAGTCCTTGCTGGCCAGGCTTTTGGGGTGGAGTCCGCAGCGGTGTGCCGAAGCAGTGCCGGGTCTACCAAATTCAGTTGCGGGTAAAAGCTAGGAAGTGCTGCTCTTAAGACCACCTGATGCTGCTATTGCATTCCAGATGATGGGGAGTTCACAGCTCAGACGTTGCCTAAAGGTGTGGGGAGCGATCGAGCCAGTGGACCCCGAGCGGCACACTCTAGCATTACCCTCATGAGAAGTCGATTTTCTAAAATTTTGGGACGCCCAGGTTTCGTGTCATGCATGAAGTGTATTTTTGCCCTTAAGAATTCGACCGTAGGCCCTGACTTGCGAGACTGCAGAAGAGCCACCCGCTGGCACGCTCCAGAACTCAGCCCGATTCAACTATACGGGCCGCCAACGACAAAAACGCCACTCCCCAATTTTGCCAACAGCAAGCCCGGCAAATTGGAAGTAGCTGGTGGTGAAATTGATGGCCTGGAAACTTTCTGGCTTGGTGGACTGCGCTCCGCTGATGGCCAGCCGGCGAACCGGAAGCTGTTCTCTGGCGGCGCAGTGTCCAAATTTGTCATGAAATATGAATGTCTAATCAAGTATCTTTTTAAGAATGACATGCCAGGTCATGAGCATAGATGCAGGCACGCTTGAGATGGCCGGGCGTAAACGGGTTTTTAAAGGAGTGCTGTATGGGACCCTTTCTGGTGTTGGATAAAAGGGCATTGTAGACCTCTCTTTTTCATCGTTTTCAAGATGGCGCAAAAGACCAATGTAGGGCCACGTCTGCACTTTAGACCTACTTACTTTGGCTTGATTCTTATTTGGGTCTTGCGCTGCCTGAACCAGATAAACTCGCTGAGCGGCGCGGAGAAGACAGAACTTAGTCACCCTTGAAGGCCGTTTCTGGGCTACACAGCAGCGCTATGCAGTGCACTGGGCCGTTTCGTCCGACTCCAACTCCCAGCTTTTAGCACAACCAAATAAAATCCCACATGCGTTCAACGCTTCTTTATTGACTTCCTAAAGCCATGTATCGAACATAAAGGTTCCCAAAGTATGAGCAAACTCACGACGGGGCTTCTGGAATCCTAGAATGGCAACTGATCTTGCAGTTTGCGCTGCCAGGCGGAACACAGCCACTTACAGTAGACGCAAGTTTACTATATATGTTTCGGTACAAGGAAGTTAATGTGGACAAGAATTGGCACAGCTCATAGCCAGCAAATAGCCATGATGGCAGCTGGCCTCACTACAAATGTTGCCGCTGCGGGTTACCTTGCAGCACAAGCTACTAATGTAATCAAGCATTGAGAGTGAGCCAGCACTCATCTGGCGAGTAATAGTCCTTCCTGACTCCACAACGGAGTCAGCACGCTGGCTGTAGTTGAGCTGGAAACGTATGTGAGGAACTCAAGGATCATACGATAGTCAGAGCGGCAAAAGAAACAGCAAGCAGACTCCAGTGGAGACTTTCGCCGCTATACAGTGTCTTGTCTCCTACTGAGTGACTCGCAGTCTTACTCGTCAACTCGAAAATAACTTGTGTTTAAACTTTGTGTCTTAAGGTGCCAATATTAGGTTGAGGTTTATAAAAGTCCTAGATTTATACTCGGTAGCGAGGCGGCCCCTTGAATGCCCACGTCACGTTGCATCGTGAGAGGCCACCAGTCCTGTTTCTGATCTCCACAGTGGGACACCTCCCTCACTAGCCATCACCATGCCATTGTTTAAAGAACGCCTGTCCCGATTATTCTGTTGCGTAAAGACACTTTAGCGTAAAGACACTTTAGCAAATTAGGAGCCACTGGTACGGATAAGACTGGGGGGCTCCTGAAACGAATTTGTTGAGAAATTGGTCAGGCCGTGGCCAGTGCCCTAAGTGCCTTGCCAGGGGGAGGCAGACAGAGAACTGAAAGCTTTGACGAGGCAGTCGATGAAGCAGAGTCAAGAGATTTTCTGAGTTACAGATTCTGTGTATAAGCAGTATAGAGGCCACAACAGTTGTTACGAGACTAGCCCAAACTGGAACGCCTCCAGCTTTCTGCAGCGGCTTTTTTTGCTTAGTTACATAAGACCTGCACCGATATCAGGTGGCAGCAACGGGTCCGGAGCATTTTGGGTGTCTTTGTATGGTGCCAGTGTCTGTTCTCCTCGTCACAAGTCTGGTGGTAAATGAACAAAAAGAGCCTAGGCCCGGTGTTTAGGGACTCAATTTACGCTTTTCCATCTATAGAAAAGCTATAAAATATTATATATCACGTTGCACTTGCTTCAGTAGCCAGAGCGGATTTTTATGCTGCACAGGCTGCAGGCTCTTTAGGCCTACCAGAGTCTGAAGGGCTAGTTACGTGCCAAATGATGCGTTAAAACAATGAAACCCTGTGGCTGAGTGGAATTTAGATTCAACATTTCCTGGTGTTTCACTGGTGGGTATTGTGCTGAGACGATGCCGAAGTTTGGAGTCAGTTAGGCATCGGGTTGCAAAACGAATCAAGCAATTGTGACTTTGCTAATGAAGATAAAGTCAGAGTCCATTGATCAAAGCGAAGTCACAGGAATTTATGTTGCACCTTTTTGCAAAGGAGAAGGGAAGGGCGTTGAGGAGCCCTAGGCGCTGGCAAGGAGGCAAAGCCTGAAAGAGCAGATCTCTCTGTTTTGGTGCTTCTTCATAAGAAGGGCTAACTAGTGAAGAAGAAGAAAGACATAATGTGATGATTAATGCGGCGACAAAAATATGACTGCGGGCACTTCAGGGCGGGATGAGCGCACTGGAGTTCGCGCTACAGATGGAAGGGCACATTAGTTCCTTCACCTTTCCTTATTTCACGAATTCAGAAAGTGCGTCTATGAATGTCAGTTAAGAAGGGGTGAAAGGATTTTGTTGGGGCTTCTTGCGAGTGTTTTAGTTTTTTGCACTTTCTAAAAGGCCAGTGTTTTATTCGCTTTCGCAGAGTCGGCAAGCTGACAGTTCTGAAAGTTCTACGCAATTATCCTGGACCGGAATCTTAGAAGAGGAGTCAAGACAGTATGAACAGGAGCCTTTAAGGATTTTGGCACCTTATTTATCAGCTTTGGAAGGTCCCTAGCAGAGTGTGCTGCAGCAGAAACAGAATCCCCTTAAGAAGTATAGTGGCCCTAAAAATTAGGCTGCTGGATTTAAGAAGCTGCAGCAAGGCAGATAGATGCAGCCTCAGACTATATATGAGGCTGCCCTCAGGAGAAAGTGGCGCGCGAAAGTCTAAGAGAAATCCTAAAGTTCACTTTCAGGCAAAGACCCTTAGGGCAAGAAGTTTAGCTTTAAGGCCCAAAGGGCCGTCTTCTCCCTCCCGCTAGTCCCATTTAAGTGCTGCAGCAGCTGCTGCTGGTTGCTGCATCAGCTGGAGGCTGCTGCAGCAGATTTCGGGGGCAGGTTGCTGCTGCTCCACCTGCGGCGTCGCTAAGGGGAAACGAATAGTGGATGGCCTAGACAAAAGCTGCACTCCGGCGCGTGTAAGTGCATTTAATGGACTTCTCAGCATTACATTTGATGTTTAGTGGCTTCTAAATTGCATTTCGTGGGTGGGAAAGCGGGCGAAAGACACAAAAGTTACATATCGAGTCCGTACGGACCCAGCTCCGGGGAGTGTTGGCCCGTTTTCTGCGAAGGCTTAGTGGGTCTTTCTTCTAGAAAAAGCAGAAAAAAGAAGAGCAATTTATGAACGCTGAGGTTTAAAAGCATAATATATATGTTTAGGGCATTTTTTGCTAAAGGGGCGCTGCTGCTGCTGCTGCAGGCACCCCCGTACGCCCGCGCTCAGAGGCAGCAGCAGCAGCAGCTAGGCAGTGCGGGGAAGGCCCCTGGTCTCCGATAACTTCAAGCTTGTTTCTCTTTGTAAACGCCTTCTTTTTTACAATGCCAGCGAAGAACAAGACTGTGCGGGTATTGCGAAAGTTGTGAGAAGAGCTGTGGCTGTTGCTGCATCGGTTGCTGCGTTGCAGTGTACGTTCAGCTGCTGGTGCTGCTGCGCGGACGCAGCTGGAGCTTTGGCGGGATAGGAGAGTGTGATTTCATTTCTTTTTTCCTTTTTTGTTTCTTTCTGCATCTAAACTGCGCCCGACGCCGCCTCCGATGCTCGCGGCCACCCTCCCCTTGGGTTTTTTAGGCACAATGGAGCAGCAGCACTCTGTCACCCCGGGGGCACCCCAGGGCACCTTAAGCTACCAGCTTTTCGCCGTTGCTTAGGAGGCCCCAGCAGGCCCTGCTGCTGTGCGCGTTTTGCTTCGAAAGTTTCTGCTGCTGCACTTGTGCGGCTTCCCAGCGCCTCCGCACGCAGCGCGCAGCAGCAGCTGCTGCTGCTGCAGCTCCTGGGCGCTCTTTTCGAGACTTTACCTTTCCAAGTGCAGCACAGGATGGCAGCCGCCGCCTACCTGACCCCAGAGGCGCCCCAAGGGGCCGCGGCGGACTGGCATTAGCAGCAGCAGCAGCAGCGGCGGCAGCAGCAGCAGCAGCAGCAGCAGGCACCCAGGCGAGCCAATCGACGGGCGGCCGTGGTTGAGCTCTCCACATACAGCGGCGCAGACACACCAAGTCCGCTGCTGCAGCAGCAGAGCTGCAGCAAAGCTGCAGCAAAGCTGCAGCGGAAGAGCAGAGGGCTGTGCCTCGCAGCTGCAGCAGCGGCGCTGCAGCAAAGCTGCAGCAAAGCTGCAGCAGAGCTGCAGCAAAGCCGCAACGGAAGAGACGGTGGAGCTGCGGATTGAGGCTGCTGGACAGCAGCAGCAGCAGCAGCAGCAGCAGCAGCAGCAGCACACCTTGTGACTCCTCGCGCACATTTAAAAGCAAATTAGAAATAATAAAACCCAAAGGATTTGTTGCTATTTTTCAGAAGCAATTAGAAAGGAAATGACGAGGCCCTTCATCGAGCCGGCGGTGCAGCCGTGCATGCGGCCACTGCACGGCCTGCAGCAGCAGCAGCAGCAGCAGCAGCAGCAGCAGCAGCAGCAGCGGCGGGGGCCCCACCGCTGCAGCGGCCCCTGGCCGCAGCGCCCCCTCTACGGCTCCTACAGCGCCTCCATGGCCAGCATGGCGGGGCAGCGGGGGCTGGGGGGCCCCCCGGGGGGCCCCCCCAGCCAGGAAGAGCAGCAGCAGCAGCAGCAGCAGCAGCAGCAGCCCCCCTGTCTCCGACAGCCACATCCTAGCCACAAGTCTTGAAGGGGTTTATCCCCCCAACACTTGCAAAGACTCTGGAGGTCTTTTTAATGGCCTCGTGGGCGCCATTGAGCGGCACATTCTCCACTCCAACCCCAGCGTACGTGCTGCTGCTGCTGCTGCTGCTGCTGCTGCTGCTGCTGCTGCTGCTGCTGCTGCTGCTGCTGCTGCTGCTGCTGCTGCTGCTGC